ACATAGAAAATACTATTTGTATTAATAATTATATATTAATTATTACGCACCTCTTCATCTTTGGGTAAACGGTGCATAATAGCTTCCTTGCTAGTATTGTAACACCCTGCAACTGCACACTTAAAAACCATGTTTCTACTATATAAACTAAAAGTTATTCAGTAAGTACTACATTTAGAGTACGGATTGAAATGACTACTGGTAGAATGGTACAATTGTTACAACTTACCTCAAAAAGGTGATAAAAGTATCCAAAAATACTGTTCTAAAGAACTGATTATAACTTCAATCGAAATAATAAATTCATTCCTTTCCAAATTTTGTATACATGCACGTTATCTAAAAGTATCATTTATATTTTGAAATATTTATCACTTTTAAATATATGCATGTGGAATAAGAAGAATAACTCCACTACACTTATTATAAAGCAACAACAACAAATCGCTCTTTCTTCAAATCGCTAGCATAATACAGCGCAATCAAAATATTTGAATATTACTATGCCCTATGTCAAACCTTGTCAAACAAATTCAACTTACAACTCTAACCTGTTTTTTCCCAATACAGAGGTTCCTGTAACAGAACGGCCAAAATGGTTTCTGTAATCGAAAGCAACGCCATAGGTGACAGTATCCAGAATTAAACGCATGTTCCCCCACTTTATTAATACGAGTGATTGGTGCATGTTTCTACTATACACATAAATTTTTCTATGGTTTCAAACGCTTTGTTTGTGTAGATAATGCAGATTGCTGCAAATTCAGTCTACAACGTCATCCAGTGGATTGTGAGGGTACTAAATCTCGGTTTACATTTTTATAGTAGTAAGATTGCACACCATGACGTTAATATGAATTTTTATCGAGAGATGCAACTTAACTTGAATCAATATCGAAAAAGGCATCGTGGAGTTATAAATAATAATTATATTAGACAATAAAGTGTGTAGCTACGACTAATTGTAATTTTTTTTGAAGCTTGCATCGGTGTACCATATTCATTGTCAGCATAACAAGAAATTTGATCTACAACGGTAATTTTTGTCGAGAATCTCAATTGTTGTTGAATTCGACGTACATATAGAGTTATTGCATAGAATTCAGTGGAAACCGCTTTGAAATCCGTCCAGCCGTTTTCTAAATAACAGCATCCTCTTAAACCGCGAGAATTCGCGAAACAAATTTTTTCATTGAACAGTTGTGATATTCATCTCCGAAGTGCATATATGCGCGCCTAACGGAGGGTTAAAAGAAATATTTTTTTGTAAATAATTGATTTTAGGCACCAAATTCAACTTCGTACGCTCTACGCCGATTTTCTCTTGGAGTATTCTACGTTGTTGTGTTTCAAATTTTGGGTGTGTTCATCGATGATTCTTATATAATTTCGGATGAGTACGGGGAGTTAAATTTATTGAAACGATTGATTTGGTTGGGAATTTGGGGGCGATACACGCTGTATAAATATATTTCCTGCTGGTTGTTAGCCGAGGGCGGAGGAATTTTGTTCGGGATTTCGCATAATGGTCTCGATGAGAAAGGAGAAGTAAAATGGAACGGATTAGAAAACGTGAAGTTAACCATACTAGAAAACTCAACCGAATTTAATCATTACATTCAGTCGTTTAACGTAAACACGAATCAATGGGTTCTCCAATACGTTTATAAACGATTAAAATTTTTAAATAATCGATACGTTAGCCAAGCAACTTCGTTGTTATTTTTGGCAATTTGGCACGGATTTCATTCGGGTTATTACGTTTGTTTTTTGTTTGAGTTTTTGGTGATTTATTTGGAAAAGGATTTGCAATCGATTTTGAAAAGGAACGAAAATGTGAGGGGGTGGTTAAAAAATACTCCTTCCATTGCACTCGTGGTTAACTTACTTTTGAGATTATACACATTCGTTTTTATGGGGTGGTGTTTGATTCCGTTTGCTTTATTGAAATTCGATAGGTATTGGAAAGCTTACTCAAACGTCGATTACGTGGGGATTTATTTATACATTTTATGGCCGATTATTTATGGCCCCTTATTGCGGATTTTGTTGGCGAAGAAGCGCGTCGCCCAAGCGAGTGATGGCGAGGGTGTTAGTTATCGAAGCGAATTTACTACTAGTAGTGTCAGTGAGGGTGGTCCTGAAAGTTTAAAGCAACATAGAGAATAAAAAATTTTCTTTAATTGAAAGAGTTAACACATTCCTAATTAAATCGCAAATTGAAAAAGGTAATTTTAAAAGTTTTCTAGTCGATATTAGGATTGTTTTGTGCAGTTCGGCAAATCACCTCAATTGTTAAATTAATCGAATTATAAATTAGATTATTAAAAATAAAGGTTACTTATGCACTAAAATTGTTTTTTTATTAATTATAAGTAAAATACAAATAGAAATGCCCGGGACACGTTATTATGACAACATGTTATTTTGTAGCCGAAGGAGTTATGTTGCTGAGTCAGTGGAGTTTACTTGATCATAAAAAAAGCTTTTCTTAATAGGAATATGTTGGTTTTAAGCCGAGGCAGCAAAGCTGCCGAGGCATTAACTCATAAACTACAGCTAAAAACAAAGGTTCTTCTGAGGCAGTAGAGAGTACTTGATTGTAAAAGACGCCATCAGAGGCGAAGCCACGAGTTTTTTAATGAATGAGTGCTTTAAGTCTTATGAAACGTGTTTTTTATGCTATTTTTTGTAATTCGCGTTTTTATCCTTTTTTTTTCTCAAAAATAAAATAAATTTTGACAATGTAGGGAAATAGGTATGTAGCAGTTGGTAACACTTAAAAATAGAAATTTGAATTGACAATTAGAAACTGTCAAAACACAAAATGTATTCACCTGACAAAAATGTTTCATGTACAGGTGTCCAAATTTCGATGGGTTTGCAGGGTATCTCACAAGGGAAGTATCAGAACTGTCCCTCACCGATTTTGTTGAAATTTGGTACAGCAATAGTATGGCCAAAAATAAGGTTTACGTATTTTTTTTATAGTACGTGCTAATAAAGCCCCTGGGGCGAGTTATAAGGGTTGGAAATCGGGGCGAAATATATATATTCGCTTATAGGCTGAAAACGAAAATAGCTATCGAAATGTGGTAAACGTAAACTGATATTCATTTTCAAAGAGCTTTCCATTGATATATCACTAGAGCTCGGATTCTTCGGTACCTAAGTCCAGTCGACCAGTTCACGAATGTTGCGTTATTAACGAGCGACGCATAGCCAAGGTCCCGAGTTCTCTGGTTTGCAGCGTTGTCATGGTAATCCATAGGCGCGCGTTAGCAAGGGTCTGTATTAACGCTAAATAAGCAAGTAATTATATATTTTATCATAATTTTTCTCGACTCTCAGTTCCTATTTGGTGAAATGATTGAATAATAATGACTTTTTCTAAATTTACTTCAGAAAATAACGACCGTTTGGGTGTTAAAATGTTTTTAAATCTAGAAAATGTTCTTTCGACATCACAACTGAATTTTATGCTGCAATTTTGTAGTAAAATCCGCATCTACATTTTTTAATTGGTTCAAAAGTCTAAAAATCGACGTAGCAAGTTCAATATTCTGTATTTCTAAAAACTGTAGCGTTTCTGGTATTTGTTTAAAATTTTCGTAAATAAACTTGAGATCATTGTGTAAGGTTTCCCTCTCTAAAATTTTTTTACATTCTTTAATACTCACTGTTAACTTTTTTATAAAAGATCGTATGTTCTCAAAATTGTGGTAATAAAAAAAAGCGGCTCCTAACCAAGTTCCCCAACGTGTAATTACAGGTTGTGGGGGTAGACACAAGTTGGGGAACATTTCTTTATATAAGATACCCGAAATGGTGCTTTAAGTAAAACTTTTTTAACATTGTTAATTAAGACGTTAACGTCTGGATAAGTTTCCCTGATAAATTCGCAAATCCGATGTAATCCGTGGGCTAAACATGTTAAATGTAATTTCCATGTTTAATGTTTCCAATGCATATTGGAAAACTGTTGCTGTAAAAGCTTTCTGGTTTTGAGCATCACAGCTGCAGCATCAGATACAAAAAGTAATACCAATATATTTTTCCGGAGAATTGGACACTTTCAAAATAGCTTTTTTAATAATCTCAAATATGACCTCTGCGTTTACGGTATTTCTGAATTCCGTCGACACTAAATAGGGCCGATAATGTCTCTGAGGATCCAAAATACCTACCACTACGTTGACCACACATCTACCTTTAATATCTGTTGTCTCGTCTGCGCTTACCCATATGTAAGAATCAGATATATTATCTTTTATTGTTGCAATGGTTTTATCATATTCAGGTAAAAGGTACAGTTTTCTAATTGTGGATTCATCAGGAAGTTCTCGCCTGGTATATTTTTTAAATAAATCTCGTAAACTAGGATTATTGAGCTTTGAAAGAGGTATATTCGCCGATACAAAAGCTTGGCAAATGTCTTCAAAATTCTTTGCTCGATGGTCCCTTCATGTTTTGCTGATGTTTTTTGGTATCTATATGCACCTGCAGTTACTGCCGCTTTGCAAGAAACACGATATTTTCCGAACAGCAGTTGCAAAATGCTACATTATCGTCAATTAATGTGAACATATCGCCAAAAGTCGCTATTAAGTGTGCCATTGAAATAAATTATAAAAACTAAAACAATAGGGCTGAATAGAAGTAGTTTTAAACTACAAAACCTAAAACAATAAGGCACTTCTAATTAACAAAAATCAAGAAAATATTCGATGATAATTAAATAAAATAATCAATCGGTTTGAAATTATAAAAACTGAAACATTCGTACAATTCTAATTCATAAAAATAATTGGTTTTAACGAAGATAACAAGGATATTAAATGAAACTCGGAACGCAACACGGATAAATGCAGGCCTAGCGTGCTTGTAGATGTGTGAGCGATCGGAACGGTATATCGGGTGGTCGGAGTGCATTTACAATCGTGCCCCATAGGTTCTGCGCTGTCGACGCTACTGAGACGGTACCGAAATATCCGAGCTTTGTATATCACATACATCTGAGGGCTTCAAGGGGGTAAACTACCCCTACTTTTTTGGAATATTTTAAAAACTACCCTGTCGATTTTGGCGATATTATGTGTCCTTATAGTACGTTTAAAAATATTAATGACGTGTTTTTTCTTATTTGCCTCTGACCATCCCCTGCAAAGTTACGGGGTATGATAGATAACCCCTTTCCTTAAGAATAATGTGATAAACTGTTACACTTTTGAACAATATTTTGAAGAAAACCATTAATTAGATGTAAATTAAGATTTACGCAGTAAAATAAACCCTATACGACATTAAGGGGTGGCTGGGGTTAACTACCCTAACCACCCCAAAAATTATTTTTTTTTGCGAAAATTGTTTGTCGATTTTGGTGCAATTTACCACGATGATTTTTTTATACGTTAGGTAGTACTATTGTAAGAACTTACAAGGGTTAGAAGTTTGGGGTAGAAAATATATTTTCGCTAATAACTTTCATACTCCTACAGAAAAAGCTTTTTTATCCTTATTCTATTTAAATAACACAAAAGTTAGGATAATTATATAAATATTTATTAATAATGAGTTAAAAAGTAACTGACAAAAGAATGGTTGACTATCACAAATTGTATTCTACATTATTAATTTAATTTCTTTTTTTTTACTTTTTTTATTCAATATATTGTTGGCAATAATGAAAATCATGGAAAAAATGTTTTAAACACAACGATTGTTTACACCATGCACAAGTTATAACAGCTATATCTCCACAGATATCGCACGTAGGTTTTTCATTGGAAAAGCAAACCTCCACGGGATTTTCAAACTGTTCTGGTCTCTCCTCTATATATCCAGATGCAAACCAGGCGTATTTAAAAACATTAATAAATCGTGGGGAAGACAACTGGTTATGCGTTAAGGATTGCAATTTTAAAATATTATCTCGCTGATGCAAATTGACATCGTACTGGTAGAGAATAACTTGATCAGAAAATCTTCTAATGAAATTTTTCCATATTCTAAAACCAAATACATCCAGGGGTTGAATTTGACCTGTTGTCCCTGCAGGTATAGACAAATATTTAAACTTAACATCCGATGGAGTTACTTCACTAATAATTTCAGGGCAGTGGCCACTCCAAGAATCCAGTAATAGTAATGATTTGGGTCCGGTGTTTGGGAAATAGACATTTTGTAGCCAATTTTTCATATGAGCAGAAATCAGTTTACCAGACTTTGATGCCAAAACGAATATGTTATCTGCTTTGAACATTGTATTTATTACCCTCGGTCCAAACGTAGTTTTTAAAATATTCCAAAAAACTAGGGGTAATTTACCCCCTGAAGCCCTCAGATATATGTGAGATATATCAATGGAAAGCTCTTTGAAAATGAATATCAGTTTACATTTACCACATTTCGATAGCTATTTTCGTTTTCAGCCTATAAGCGAATATATATATTTCGCCCCGATTTCCAACCCTTATAACTCGCCCCAGGGGCTTTATTAGCACGCATAAAAAAATTCGTAAACCTTATTTTTGGTCATACTATCGCTGTACCAAATTTCAACAAAATCGGTGAGGGACAGTTCTGATACTTCCCTTGTCAGCTATTATGAAAGATAGAAAGTTGCGGCTTTCGCGAACCTGAGCTACTTTTTTGTGAAACTTATAATGGCGCAAACCAAATTTTCATAGCCCTCTTCGTTTTTGATATACAGGGAGTGTTTCAAAATTTACGATTTTCAGACACCTCCTATATCTCGGCTATCCGAAAACGTAAACACGGGTTCTAATAGATTTTTCCACGTAGAATCCAATGCTGCACGTAGAATTTTTTTAGTCATCACGGTTTGTGAGTTATAAAGGGTTAAGTGTTTCAGAAGTTGAGTATTCAGTATTTGGGTTGTGTTTATAACTCAAAAACCGTGATGACTAGAAAAATTCTACGTGCACCATTGGATTCAACGTGAAAAAATCTATTAGAACCCGTTTTTAGTTTTTTATTGAGTTTCCGGATAGCCGAGATACAGGAGGTGTCTGAAAATCGTAAATTTCAAACACTCCCTGTATATCAAAAACGAAGAGGGCTATGAAAATTTGGTTTGCGCCATTGTAAGTTTCACAAAAAAGTAGCTCAGGTTCGCGAAAGCCGCAACTTTCTATCTTTCATAATAACTGAGATACCCTGCAAACCCATCGAAATTTGGACACCC